ATCAATATACAGAATTGTATAGGTATTTGGCGTAAATTACTGATTATGAAAAGCTCGTTAGCTGAAGAGGTAAATAAATCATGCACTTGCGATTTCAGCTACTCAGCTTTCTGTTTTTCTCACCACATTTTCAGTTGCTTTCTCGACACGCGTCGCACGTTCCCGGTTTCGCGCTTATGCTGAGCTTCCTTCGCACATGCTCCGCACCAGTTGCAATCCTACCCCGCCCAATGGATTAGCTGCTGACGCATCAATTGGTTGTCTTACATTGCAGTACAAGAGTGTTGCCACAGCTACTCCATCACAAGATTTATGCCAGAAGTCTTGCTGCTTTCTAAGTCTATGTATTCGGCGTTCGGCTCCTCCCAAATAGTTACCAGTCTGGCTAATGCACGCTGTCGCGCACAACGCAAGGAACCCTATTTGAAGCCACCATGGATAAAATATGTTCCATCTCCCCACCTTGATCTTTGTACTCCCTTTCTTCTTTTGCCATGGTTGCGACTCGCGTCCTTTTTTTTAATTTAACCATTTCAAGCGCACATTATACTCTCCTTCCCCTCTCCCTAACCACCAGGACCTCCCTGCTCAACATCATTACACGCTTGTAAGAGCGGGGCAGTTCACTGATTGATTTTCACACAATGACCCTCTAGTACTTGGCAGTAGAGTGGTAACAAGTGATAATCAATCGTAGTGAAGATGACATCTTACCTATTTCAATCAGTTGTGAATATGAAGTGAAAGTGATGTCACCCGTCATTGATGTCCCTATTAGTTAATCTGTATAATTTGGCAGTGTAAAAGTTCTACCACTGTGAACAACGGCGAGAACGGCAATGCCCCTTATCAACCCCTATCACTTGTTGTCACTTCCATTCACCTACGGTCGATGTTCCCATCTTGCCCTCTATACATATCACTCAGGGCACCTCATCTTTGAGGGTCCTTAATAGGTGGGGGGAGGGTATCATTTAGTCTAGAAAAACTTTGATACTTGGCTTTTCTTGTTTCAAGGACGCTGTAAAGGGGAGAGGGTCGTATCTGCTCGTCGCTGGGAAAGAGGGGGAGGGGACGTATTTGGCTTCTGGCCTTCTGAGAGCGGTTATTGAATTTGTGTAGTTTTTCGTGTTTCACACGCTCATATGTACTATATTTCCCCCCCCCCTCCCCGCTCGATGGCAAATTTTTTGGGAAAACTAGGAAAGTTTTTGGGGAAATCCAGAAAAATTAGTGGGAATTTGAGACGATCTAAGAAAAGTTGAGGCGATCTAAAAAAAGTGGTACGTAAGTTGGGAGGACGGGGATGGGGAAAGGGAGGGAGAGTAGTATTCCCCTTGCGGTTTTTCCCGTTTCCCATCTTATATAACTCACCCCCCGCCCCGCTTCGACAGCTCGATCGGGTCGGGGGGGGGGGGGGTAAGCCACCTGTAGGGACATTGTACGGACTCGACGAAGTTTCAACTGATGTGCCTTGATATCACTAGCAGTTTTTGTCACCCACCGGTACTGTACGTGTCCCATACCCTAAATGATAACTTGTAACTAGCGTCTCGTTGCTACTAGGAGGGACGCTATGAATTTCGTGACACACACAGGCAGACATACAAACATATAGACGAACAAACTTAATGGTGTATATACAGGGGGGGGCTCATTTTCCATCATTAACTTTGGAGACGCTATAAGTGACACTTTATTGATTCTAATCGGACATTTCTAGCACTTTATTGAAGAGATTAAAGAGAACATTGAATTCTATCATAACACTCCGCCACAGCCTTCTGGACGAGCGCCATCGAGAGATTCTGGCACGCGACCGCGATGTGGTGCCTGAGATCAGCGAGATAGTCGATTTCTCGCCACCGTTCAGAGCCACCCCTTTGAACTCCGCCGCGAACCGGGGTATTGAGGGGCATTTAGCATCAGGCGCTTGACCTACTTGGATATTCCATCTTTTTTAGGTACTCAGCCCCTTCCATCTGTCCCGCGTTATGAGTATGGTGACCTTCCCATTCTAACTTCCCTTATCAAGTCTTATCAGCTGCTAGCCATCTCGTTGTCACCTCACCAATATATGTTCCTTGGTGCCACCTAACTATATCGTACTCTATGGAAGAAACTCCCAAGTGTTGCTGTGAACCCCTGCGTATGGATTCCGGTTGACCTATCCTTGCCTGACGCCTCTTATCGGATCTTCAATCAGCTGATATCGATCTTCCTGTCACTCACGCAATATTGCCTCCGGTCACAGCCCCTATACACTGGCGCGTTTTGGAGATCAACTTCCTGGCAGCAACTGCGGACGGAGTCCGCTATGAATTTCGTGATGCAGACAGGCACAGGTGTCATCACAGTCACATGCCCGCACACACAGCACACACACGAACACGCACAGCACACAACAACCACACAGGGCTGCTGAGGAGGCAGTTGCGACGCACACACGAACACACCACACACACAGCACACGCAACACACCACGCACACACACACACACAGACAGACATACTTAGCGGATTACATATAGTAGGATAGTGGGATGGCACTTGTTACGGTTTGGGATGAATGCAACAGAAAATACGAGATGGCAATATTGTTTTCAGGCTGTACGTTTTATTTTGTACCGCATCACTAGAGGTGTAATTGAGAAAACTATATGCCTTCAGTTCTACAGGTATGTATGGGACAAACAAAGGGACAAAGATTGTCCTAATTGGCGCACACTAACCATTCTGTCATCACAATGAGTCTATGAGTGTTAGGATGCCTGGAGAGCCCACTAGCAGCGTTTTTACCTGTGGTTGTTGCTTACCAAATCGATCACTAACAGGGCACCATTGGTACAACAGCGCAGACGGAGGCGGGTTCATTCCGCCTCTCCTGGCACCTAGCAGGTTGTGACGTTGCGAACTATACCTCTCAGTGGTCCGCAGCTGCAGTGCCGTGCCACCTTCGTCGGTCGGAAGTGCACCGGAAGGGCTGCAGGTTGGCGCTGCCCGCACTCGATATTCCGCCACAACCCACTCTCAAAGGTAAGCGCGCTTCTTGTCTGCGCCATCTCACTTCTGGCTGTTGTCGCGGACCGTGGCACCCTACTGCGCGATCGACATCGGTGGTAACCGCGGCTCCCGCCGTCCCATCGCTCTACCACACCCTTCCTGCGCACCCGCACAGGAAGGGTGGACCTAACCCCCCGGGGACCATGGGGTTTTTCTACGGCGGGCACCTTACCGACCCCCTACCGTCCACGGCGTCTCCACCGTACCGCGCCGCACGAGGCCGTGGCCCTACCCCCGTATACCAACCACCATGGTACCACCATGGTAACAACCCACACATAGAAACACAGGTAAGCACCGTGGTATAAACCATTATAATAACAAATAGAACATTAAATAATCTACATCATTTATTAACGAACTACTCACCGCACTACAATGATTGTTCTCCCCTGGCCGCCGTTCTCCGTGGGCTTCGTTCCATAGCTGAGCACGTAATAGGCCCCCGTGGCCGTTGCCCCTCTGAGTACGCAATAGGCCTGTTAAGGCTTCATCCCCTCATACGTATTATGCCCCCATCCTGCCGGCGGTAGTCCTCACCATGCGGTCGTCGATGTCCTGATCGGGGCTGGAGTAGAGGCTGCTCCCAGTCGGGGAGCAGGGGATGGACATCGGCCGGCTCATGGCCGGCGCTCGGGCTGCCTCCGGCTTCGGAGCGGAGTTCACCCCTCCGCCGTCGGCGCTGTCCTGGCGTTACCCGGTGAAAACCAACCGGCACCGGCTGCCAGCCTTGGGACGTACTACACTGGCCACGACCGCAGGGGGCGGAACCACGGCGCACGTGAAGCGCACGCCGTGGGAACCGAGCGCGGATGGGCCGGGGCGCGAGGTGCGCCCAACGGCGACCGTCGCATCCGCGACAGCTGTTCTCTACTGCTGAGTGTGTGTTTCCCTGCGGGATTTTGGTATCGACGCGAAGGCTGCACCTTGGAAATAACGCGGCTGGAGTATGGAGACTGCACTTGGCTACCACTGCACTTGGCTACAGCCCCATTCTAACGCAGCTTTGAGAGGCGAGGCTGGCTCGCTGCAGCTGCATATCCATCCGTCTCGTGTCCACCTCATCGGAGGTGAGTGTACAGCTTGTCTTTGAGCAAAAAAAACTAGGTATTGAATGGCAGAATTGCAGCTGATCAGCTTAATGTTCTTGGGCAGCAACGGCTAACACCGCAAAAGCTGCTTCCGTATTGAATGTTCATCTGAACATTACTGAAGGAGCATATTGTAGGCTGGAATTTGATCATTTGCAACATATACTGGATCATGATAAACTAAATGTTGGCACTGAAGACGATGTGCTTCACGTTATTGATTCTTGGATAGGTACGGTAACAGTACATTGCGATAAACATTTGGTGATAGCCTCACCGGAAGTGTAAACATCGCAACACACTTCATTGGAAGGATTTCAGGCGCATGTATCGGTCGCAACATCCATCGTGACAAACTGCTTGGAACAGTAAGGAAAGTCGGCCTGTCCTCTCAGGTCAGTGCCAAGGCTTGCATTGCAAGTTATCTGGCTTTACAAGTCTATAACGATAGCAAAATGAGATCCCTTCATTTCAAACGGTTTTTTCAAACAAAATCAGTTCAGAGTAAATACCTTTTTATGTGTGCTTTAAGTTTATAGGTAATGCAGAACATAGGTTTGGCCTTTGCCCTGGACCGATATTTCCAGTAGGCTTAATCACCTGAAAGGGCATACGTTCAAACTGTCATGATTCCTGCAAACGACTGGAATATGACGGGTTGTGGGTCGGGGCACAACCAGGGCGGCGTCTCTCAATGATGCCATATCGACCCCCTATAGTGGTAAAGACGGCCCTGCCTACGCCTCGTCACAAGACACGTCGTAATAAACTCGGAAAACTTATGACTGATAATCTAGTTCGCTGCGGACGAAGGGGCGTGTCAAGCAGAATGAGTTTGGCGCGGTGCCGTTCTCCACCAGCTGCTGAAGCGAGCAAGCTTCAAGACTGTATCATATCGTTTCGTATCATTCGTTTTACCAAGTGTTGTCGCATACACAATTCAACAACTGTCGAAGAACGGTTAGGCGCCGTGGCACACTCATACTGCCTGACACGCCCCTTCATCAGCAGCGAATCAGAGCAGAGGTGGTCTGGTGCCCCGTACGTCATTGTTTTTCTTGCAGCAAATTGAATCGTTCAACGAGAAGCATTTGTCAAATCTTTTATCTGAGAAACCACTACGTCCACCACGCGATCAGGTCCGGAGCCAATGTTATAGGAAGTACCCTTTTCTTGTGGATAAACTTGAATTTTTATAGATGGTGATGTTTGGCGGTTGGCATACTGGACGAACTCATTCTCGCATAGACATATTTGACGAGGTTAGGAAAAACGTTCAAGTGAACGGTGAACGATTCTCTTTGAAAGGCTTTCTATTTCAGAGCAAGCACAACTGGAGACCACTTTGTGACCTCAGCCTCGTCCATCCGATAGCATATCACGGTTCTGTAGTTCTTAATGATGTAAGTGGAAATCTGAGCGAAGTTAGTGCTACTGCGACCACCTTGAGCGGCGGTGCTTGAGTCACAGGCACAACTCGCGTATCGCAAGAAATAGCTGGTCTGAATGGCCACAATCGTACTCTTTTTTTAATATCTGGCATATCAAGGAAAATATGTGGTTCACAAGATGGAGCGCTTCTAGGAATTTGTTTACTGCTGAATATACCATTTTCACTTTAAATCGGACACTTTTCAAACCAAATCGGACACTTTTCAAACCAAATCGGACACTTTTCAAACCAAATCGGACACTTTTCAAATCAAATCGGACACTTTTCAAACCAAATCGGACACTTTTCAAATCAAATCGGACACTTTTCAAATCAAATCGGACACTTTTCAAACCAAATCGGACACTTTTCAAACCAAATCGGACACTTTTCAAATCAAATCGGACACACCCCTTACAATTAGGTGGTTGATAACTAGACCACACTAGGTACTGTTGCAAGCCCCGCCCCATTATCCCCGCCCATTTCTCAGCAGACAGGGTTTTCCGAGATGCTTCATGAAATCTGCTCCCTCGACTTTTTTTCGTTTTTGCCCTTTGCACACACACTTCAACTGAAAAGGTTGATACCTATACAGATCTGACTCCGCCCACTTAGGATGGTCCTTGCCAAGGCCACTGGGTCTGCTGCTGCACCTGCGCGGGAACAAGGATGAAGGATAGCGAGCGGCTGCTATCCCCCAACTCTCCAACTTCAGTTCTACTCGTAATTGATGTGCAGTCGTGATCCTTGCAAACGATAGGGCGTGCGCCATTACTCGCATCCACGCCGCGTCACCGCCATGTTGCTGACTGAGATCATAACTAAAGAAGCCACCGTTTTTGTGCTCGGTTGCTCCGCGATGAAGTTGCCAACCGTGGAGAGTGGGAAGGCAGTGTTAACCTGGGCGAAAGCCCATTCAAATTCAACCCGAGCCCGGAGAGTACACGCTCCTTTTATTCTTGCTGGATCCAGTCCATACCAGGTGGCGTCCAAATGTTGCTGCTGTGGGTTGAAGGCAGTGGGCACAGAGACTGGGTGCAGGCGGTTGCTGTCAGGGTAATTGGTGTAGCAGTTATGAGAGGTTGTTCGACCACATCTCATTCAGCCCACTGAAGGTGACAGCAAAAGCCCGCGCTCAGTTATCGTGCCCACTGCCTTTGAGCGAGCATGACCTCATCGCGCCATAACA